GACTCAAATGTGTACGAAATGTATGTATTTCATATTGTGCAGATATAAGAGTCAGAAAAAGGCAAGAAATTATTTAATATGTGTTGGTAGACTCTAAGGAAATCAGGACTAAGATCACTCATCTTTATCAGAATAAAAACAGAATTCATGATTCTTTAAGAACACCACATTGGAGAGACTCATTTCTTCTTGTCTGAGGCCAGAAGTCCACAAAATTTGAAGTAATTAAAAGAGGTAAGTCAGGGATTTTATCAAAGTAGTGACTCTCCTCAACTTTGGATTAGCCAAACTCATAAAATTAGATAGTTATTATTACATGGCCAAATTTAGTTTTTTAAACATTTCAAATAGAATATCTTGGCTCAAATATTCTTGTGCATGCTTCAGCGTAAACAGAAAATTTACATGATTTTTACACCTAAATAACAGGTCTTTAGGCCTATATGGGTTAACAAAATGTTTATTCAATCTCTCTATTTTAATCAGAATCCAGTGATATAGCATGGCCAATATTCCACTGCTGGTGGTTTTTGACATTTATGTTTTAAAACTAATTATTTATGAATTTTATTACATTATTTTTTCTCTAATAATATGAGTCCACTCATAAATAAAATAATATTGTCTGCAATAGGTTATGCTTTTGTTGAAAGCTTAGATTTGTATAAGAAATATCATTAAGTAATATCCACCATATGACTAAAGCAAACACAATCAACAAGGACATTACATAAATAATTGATTGGGGAGATAAAATAAATATGTGACCACTTTTGCCAACTACAGTTGTGCCATAAGGGCAATTCAATTTTATATTTAATATTATTAGGTATCATAGGACAATCTTATCCTTGTTTACAACAGGTGATTTACTGGAAGGTTCATATGTATAGAAATGTACATGACTCTGATAGTCCTTAGAAGCTTTAATGTGTGTGTATCATCTGAGGTTTGTGAAAATGCAGATTTTGATTGTGTGGAACTAGAGTGGGGCTTCAGAGTCTGCAGTTGTGATAAGCTCCTGGATGATGCTGTTGCTGTTGATTCATGGACCACACATTGAATAGAGTCTTCAGATGACTGTCCCACAGTGTCCTACACCATGACTTTTTGTGGGTCAATTAAAATGGTCTGCTCCCCCCTTCCTATTTACATTTTATGAGCAATATTAATTCATCAATAATAGTGATCAGGAACTTATCAATACTAGGCCTATGCCTTCAGGATAATATCCTGAATTGTGTTCATGTGGAACATAAGAAAATATAATTTCATTACTCTGAATTGGGACAGTGTACTTAACTTAATATGCTGACAGAATGCAGACGTACAAATGTTTTACGGATGAATTTCTCAACTTCTTAACTTCATTTGTTTTGCAATCTTCTTAACAAGCTTCTGTCTGATCACTGTCTGAGGGTGTTCCCTAAATGGATGGCTGTGTCTCCAAAATCAATCATTCGCTCTTGGAATTTTCTAAATTTTGAAAAATTTCTTACTCTTTTGAGCTTACATTTGTGATTTTATAATTGAAATCCCTCAGGATAGCATTTGTCTTCTGGGGCTACTCAGAGAACAAAGTGAAGCTGCCACTGTTCATAACAGCCCTTTGTCAGAATAGCTATTTCAGTATTTGAAGATAAGGAGGCAGTTTACTTTTTTATCTCCAGCCTAAGCTCATATTTCCACATAAGAGGACATCACCCAAGATGGTCACTGTTTTTGTTTGTGTTTGTCATTATAGCTGCTTTCCCCATGTTTCTTTGCTGAGAATCAGATATATACGTTATCTTCATAACTGTAATATGATACTGCCCCGGGATAATGTGCAATTAAAGAAAATATGGTTGAAATTATGGTGATAATTTTCTTTCTCTGGCATTTGTTTATTCAATTACCTAATTCCCTCCATGTACTCTGATAAGCACAGGGAATATAAATATTAATAAAGCAGATTTTCTTTGCTCAAGTTGCTCTATGTTGAGAAATAATGTAATATATTAGATAAGTGTTATTTGAAGGGATGTTATGGTGATACAGAATCATGATGAGGGAGAAACTAATAGTGACCTGAGGTTCTAGAAAAATTTAATAAAGGAGAGAAAAAAGGAGCATGGAATTAGGTTTTCAAAATTAATTATTGAAAATGTTATGAGCACGTATTATGTTACAGGTGTTTGGTAAGCTTTATTTAGTCCGCTCTTTCAAGTAGCCCTGTGAGCTAAGTAGTCTTCATTTCTTTTAAACATACACTAATAAGACAAAGCCATTTATGCAGAAAGATGCAGAGCCAGTGTTTGATTCTAGGTTCACTTGGTTCCAGCTTATGCTGATTCTTGTCTACTGTGCTCTTATATACAGTGGCATTTGAGCTGAAATTCTTTCTTATCTTCATAGCTCTTCTTGCTCTCTATCTGTTTACACCTTGAATAGTGTCCCCCAAATATTCATGGCCACCCAGATCCTCAGAATATGGCCTTATTTGGAAATATGCTTTTTGAAGTTCTAGTTGAGATAAGGCCATATTGAATTAGGGTGAAATCACACATCACAGATACTCAAGAATCCTATGAAGATACATTAGGATTTTAATGAATTTCCACCATATTTTTAAAGAGTAATTGGAAAAAATAGTTAAAATTTATAATGTTCCTCTGTCTTACACTAGTTAACAAAAAAATGCCCTTCATGGTGACTTAGAACAATGTTTTAAGTCAACCACAAACTGCATTTCCATTGAGATTTTCTTCATACATTGTTCTTACGATGTCCTTAATCTTCCATGAAAAAGTAGATATGAGTTAACCTACTTAATCTACAGAGCTCCAGGTTTTAAGGCAGCAACAATCACCCCCATAAATTTTACATATATACTAGGAATAAAAACATAGTAACATCAACTATGAGATATGAGAGTTGAATCACATTAATGTTTTCTTCTCAAAATATCTCAAATGCTATCAATATAAAATAGAATACACTGTAAGTAATTATACACATCCAAACCTTAATCCTCTTGAAATTTTGAAGCACACTAGAAGAAATTATCTGGCCATTACTGAGTAGCTCAGTTGCTTAGAATATTGTCCTGACATGCCAAGGTTGTGGGCTCAGTCCTAGGTCAAGGCACATACAAGAATCAACCAATGAATGCATCAATTAGTGGAACAACAAAATGATGTTTCTCTTTCTACAAAATCAACAAACAAAAAAGGTAATTTTCTCAATTTTTGGATTCTTCTCTGTAATAAGTATTCTGATTTTGAGTAATATCTGAAAACTATTATTGATTAAATTTCCACTATGAATTCTATGATACTTTAAACTTATTTTCAGTTACATTGCAAAAATTTTTTTTTTTTACATCTTTAAAGTCACTTTCAGGCATAAATTCTTTGGCTTTAGTGAAGTGTATATTTTGAACAAAAGTCTTTTCTTCTATATTACAAAGGTAGTATTTCTTCCCAGCGCACATTCCCTGACATTGAGTGGGGCTGCAGGTCCATCTCTACGGTTTCCAACACTCTTTAGTTTCAAGGTTTCTCCTACTCTTCTGCATTCTCATGTGTTGTTTAAGCTGTGAAAGCTGAATAAAGGCTTTGCCACACGAGTTACATTTGCATTGTTTCTGTCTGGTATGAATTCTCTGATACTGAGCAAGTTTTGTGTACTGGGTAAGGCTTTACCACCTTCTTTATGTTTGTTAAGCTTTGATCCAGTATGAATTATCAGATGTTGAGTAAGATATGAATGCAGAATAAAGACTTTGCCACAGATGACACATCTGTAAAGATTCTCTTCAATATAAACTCTCTGATGTTGCATGAGGCTTGTACAATAGTTCAAAGTTTTGCACATCCTTTATATTTTTACTGTTTCTCTCTAGCATGAATTCCCAGATATTGAATAAGCTTTGACAACAGGTTAAAGGCTTTGCCACATACTCTACTTTTGAAAAGCTTCACTCCAGTATGATTTCTCAGATGTTCAGTAAGGCCTGAACACCAATTATAGGCTTTATTACATTCCTCACATCTGTAAGGTTAGTCATCAGTATGAATTTTCAGGTGTTGAGCAAGATATTAATGCTGCTTAAAGGCTTTGTCACATTGTCTACATTTGTAAGACCTCTGCCCACTATGAGTTCCCTGAAGGTGAGTAAGCTTTGAGTGCTCATTTAAGGCTTTGCCACATCATACTTGTAAGGTTTCTCTCTAGTATGAATAGTATGAATGTAGAATAAGACATGGATGTTATTTAAAGGCTTGGCCACAGGCTTTGCATTTGTAAGGTTTCTCTTCAGTATGCATTATCTAATGTAGTAGTAAAACCTGAAGCCAATTAAATGTTTTACCACATTTTTTACATTTGTAAGGTTTTTCTCAGAATGGATTTTCTTATTTCTATTTAGATTGAATATTATATTTTAGACTCTCCCACATGGATTACACTTGTAAACTTCCTTCCCAGTATGAATATTCTTTTGTTCAGTATGACTTGATGATTGATGAAAAACTTTTTATCACATTTACTTCATTTGTTTGTCTACTCCAAAATATGAATAATTTGATGTATATTGTAATTTGACTTTTTGGTCTAAGAATTTTCCACATTATAATAGTTCTCTGGAAGCTGAGTTCTCTGATGTTTTTTAGGATTTAGCTGTTGGTTAAAGTTTTCCCACTGTTCATTGCATTGATAACTTTTGTCTCAATTATATGCACTCAGTATTATTTTATGGAATGAATCTTCTATTCCTGGTTTTTGCAACAAGACCTGGTTGTTCTCAGAGGACATAGCTGGGTGGATGGATATGGTCTTTTTTCCCTTTACATTCCAGGGCTCCTTCATTGGCTCCAAAAAGGTGACCACAACCGGCTTAAAGACAGCAAGACTCGGGAGATCTGGTTCCTGTAATTCTTCAAAATCACATCCACGTACAATTTTCACTGAGCTAGGTCCAGGCATCCCTAATCCTCCTAAAAGAAATCCATAGCCACATTCCTGAAGGTCAACAGTCCCTGAGAAGCAGCCATGTCATTCTGTTCCTGGTCCTGCTCCTATTTCTGGTTGTTTTCTCAGGTGGTGTGATGTTGAGGAGTTATTTCTGCATCATGAGAACATGTCTTCAAAGGCATCAGCACAACCCATTCATCTGCTTCCATCACACTCACAGGCAGAAGGACTTCGAAATGCTGAAAGGGCCACCCTCTCCTGTCCTTTGTTACAGGAGATTCGGGAACAATGAGCTTCCACACGGAGACCAAGCTGTGAGTTTTTTCTCTCCTGTCTTCATGCGCTTTCTCTTCTCATAGATGACCATAAACTCTACAGAAATTTTAATGCCCATAGTGACCCTCAGGCTTCATGTATGTAGGAATGTGGACTGATACTCTCAGGTTTAAACCAGAAAGAATGACACCAGGAAGGCCAGCATGACCATTGAGATTCCATAGCCACTTCTGGGTCTGCAAGAAACTCCATATTTTTAATACTTCAGATTTTTCTTCTCTATAAAAGTCTGTATCCCTCTGTGTATATTGCATACAATGATAAATAGCAGATCAAGAATTTTATTAGCATGTTGTTAGGATGTAGAAGTAACTGATAATAGGATTGAAGTAGATCATCCATATATGTTAAATAAGTAAAATCCATACACATTAATATAAATTGCCCAGACTGCACAGATAACTAGCACAATAGCCATACATAGAACCCAGAAGTTTGACTAATTCCATGAATGCTTGTTGTACTTCTCATGAGTTTTGAAAACATTATTTATAGGAGAGAAAAGTCATCTCCTTCATGGGTTGTGCTGTACAGATGTGGTTTATTGGTCAATTTGCAGTGACTGAGTGTTTCCTCCTGGCCGCCATGGCATATGATCGGTACATAGCCATCTGCAACCCTTTGTTGTACCCGGTTATCATGTCCCAGCGGGTTTGTGTGCAGCTGGTGGCAGGACCTTATGCCATGGGCATTCTAAATGCCATTATTCAAGAGACCTTCACTTTTTGCTTACCTTTCTGTGGTCCTAATGTGGCCAACCACTTTTTCTGTGACATTCTCCCTGTTCTCTCCCTGGCATGTGCTGACACTCAGAACAATAGGTTGCTTCTTTTCATCATGGCTGGAGCTATTGTGTTCTTCAGTGGCATGATCATCACCATCTCCTATGTGTGCATCCTGGTGGCCATCCTGAAGATCCAGACTGCTGACGGGAGGCAGAAAGCTTTCTCCACGTGTTCTTCTCACCTGACAGCCATCTGCATCCTGTATGGGACTCTTTTCTATATCTATGTTCTTCCTGACTCTGGTTCCTCCCTAGATATCAATAAAGTGATTTCTCTATTTTATACTGTGGTCATCCCCATGCTGAACCCCTCATCTACAGTGTGAGGAACAAGGAGGTAAAAAGTGCATTCAGGAGCAAGTTTGAAAGAAAAATGCAGTAGTAGGATTCAGTAATGAGTGGTAATTAGAGAGTTAGAAAATTGCCGAGTCTATCTATTATCAGGTTACTTGTATACTGTTTATGTTTCTTTACATCAGGCTTGTCCTTTGTGAAATGATGCAGAATAAAATAGAAAATGTAATTTGTGCCAGAAGAAAATCCAGGAGAACTTTTTTAAAAAAATATATTTTATTGATTTTTTACAGAGAAGAAGGGAGAGGGACAGAGAGTTAGAAACATTGATGAGAGAGATCGATCAGCTGCCTCCTGCACGCCCCCCACTGGGGATGCACCCGCAACTGAGACACATGACCGAAATTGAACCCAGGACCCCTCAGTCCGCAGGCCGACACTCTATTCACTGAGCTAAACTAGTTCAGCATCCAGGAGAACTTTTATATATTCTTATATGTGGGAAGATATTTTATGTTATGTTATAAGGAAAAGATCAACATAGTTCATTAAGAAAGGTTTCATAAACCTTGTTAAATGTTGAACAATGGAAAGTGAGAGAAAAATGGCAAAACAAGTGACTCACAATGAGTTAATGTTCAAATAGGAAAGTTTTGGAATACATATATAAAACACAGTAGGAAAATGAAACACAGCTGAGGAATAAACCAAGAAATGAATGTCTAATTGACACAATTGCAAATAGTCCTAAATTAAATATATATATTATAATTATGATTAAATATATTATATATTATATATATTAATTGTTTAACTCCACAATTGCTTGAGTAAATTAAATCAAAATGACAAGGCAAAATTTTTTTTCATCTATTAAATTAGCAAACATTAAAATGATTATTTGCAAGGCTAGTAAGGTTACCATTCAATATGAGCAACAATTTTATACATAGCTAATGTACTAGTAGCTATGTGTAAATAGCTACATTGCCATACAGTAATTGTTATTTTATGGTTGCTATTAAAATGCAAGGTACATAATCTTTGACTTAGCTGTCTTACATTTGGAAGTCTATGCTTTAGAAATAGGAATACAGAAACAAATATTACAGCATCTTTTGTAGAGGAAATAAAAAACAACAACCTGTATCTGCATTATTAGGAGAAAAATATTCTTTTTTTGAAGTGTTTTGCAGCTGATTATAAAAAGAATAAGTTCATGCTTTGATTTGGAAGAAACTCTCTGACAAAATCACTGATAGATGTGAAAGAATCAAATCAAAGCTTAATTTGTAGAACTGACCATAATTTATATAAAAAAAAAAAAAGGAAAGAAAAAAAGGTGAGGAGGTGAGGGTAAAATCCACCTAATGTGTAAATTATGTTGGTACGTAGGTATGTACACGATCATAGAGAGAAGTGTGAATGGCTACAGGCCAAGCTGTTAACATTGGTTAGTTCAGTAGTGTGACATTGGAGTAGGAAAGGGATCATTCTCATCTAAGTTGTTGAACTTGTTTTACAACAAATATGCTTAAGTTTATAATTAAAATTCACTTTTCAAAAGCTTCCATGTCAAAACTGAATGAATGATAGGATGAATAAATTAATGAATATATTATTAAATAAATAAATTGAGGGGTTGGGCTCAATGTCTTCTCTTAAGGCTACTCTACACTCCAACATTGTCTGATTTCATGAAGCACTTTTTAACATTGGTGAATTAAATCTCTCATTTTTTTCTCTAAGGATTTGAATCTTCCTCCACTTCCTGGAGTCTATGATTTTACACATAGTGGTAAGTTTTATCTTTATTAAAGATTTTGAAATAACAAAATGCTCTTAAAAATGACACAATGCAAATATGATGAAATATGAAAGTGTACTAAATATTATCTTATATATAGCCATATGAAAGTACATTTCATAGTTTCTGTAGCACCACATTTCATAGAAAAAAATGTCCGTTTCTCCTAATGTTACAAATTCAGTGTGTTTTTTTTTATTCCCCCTAAAGTTGATGTTATAACATTTCAAGTCATAAATTTCCAAATGTAAGATAGATAGGTCAGAGGTTATATGCAATTAACATTGTTAACTGTCACCCTTGTGTAATTTTACAGCACCATTTTACTAATTGTTAAAACTCTGGCTTAGGTGTGACAAAGGGTAATGTGTTTTTTTTTTTTTGTTTGTTTGTTTTTTTACTTTTATCTAGAAAGGTAAAAATTGTCTCTCCTAGTCAGATTTTGCTTTAAAGTATTTCATTCTGTATTTCCATTATATAACTTGTCTCAAGCCACAAGTTTGAGATCATCATTTCCTAGTATAAGACCTGAAGTATTTTCTGTCTTTTAAATTATTTCTTAAACATTTATGATGCAAAATCTAGTGGAAGGAGATTGGGGAGAGAACACCAGGAAGCCAGTGATAATTATAAATGGCCTTAATTGCGTTCCTCCAAATACATGCATATACATTCAATCAGACTCTCTTCCTCCTGCTTTAGTTATTGTTCTGATATTCTAATGTATTTTCCTTTAGGAGAATTCTTTTCCATATTTACATGGATAACTGTACTTGTTTTCCATATACTGATTAAATGTCTCTTCTACTCAGAGAAAGACCCTTATTTTCCAATCTAAATTAGAGCCCCTGTAGTTATTTTTCTGTTATCAGATCATATTACTTTTATTTGACTTTTTAAGTGCAACACAATGCACAATAGGATAAATTCTTGTTTTGCTTTTAATAGTGAGAAATGTTCCCATCTGATTTTTCATATTAGGCAGTCAGCAAAATTCAATGGAAGATGCATTTTTTTCATTTACCCTGTACAACGTTAAGTGGTTCTCCTTATTTTATAAAGCTTGAGTAAGTCCTAATACCAGTAGGAAAATCCTCTATCAATTAAGGTCTTCACATGCTGTGATCTAATTGGTAATATTAGTTTCTGGAGGAAGGTAATCAATTTTCATGAGGCATGATTCCTGAGAAGAAGTCATATATAATTCTTATATTTGTGAAGTGTATTTTGTCTCTGGCTTCTTTCAGAATTTTTTCTTTGATTTTCTATAGTTGGAAAATTGTATGCCTAGGTATAATTTTTGTCGGTATGTATCCTGCTTAGTATTCTGTGAGCTTCTTGGATCTATAGTTTGATATCTAAGATTCATTTGGGGAAATCCTCAGTAATTATTGTTTCAAATATTTCTTCTGTTTCTTTCATTCCCTTTTCTTTTTATAGCTCCATTTTTCACCGTGTTACACCATTTGCAGCTATCCCACAGAACTTATATGGTAGGCAGTCAGATAGGCATGAGCAGAGCAGGACAATAGGCCAGATATGGAATGTCACCAGGGCAGAAAGTCCTGGGCACCTAGAAATGGTTACCTAGCAATGGGCAGAAATGGGAGAGCGGGTAATAGAAATAAATATTGTTAATCAGGACTTCACCCGTAGGGTGCCATTTCATCCCATAGATCGTCTCAGGTTTCTAGGGTTTGATTCTCCGTTTGACCTTTATCCGGTGGCATGTAGCTAGCTATGTAGTAGACCCTGTACTCTGTCCTCCATTAGAGAAGAACAAGGGGGTTAGATAAAAGCCCTACCTGACTTTCATACAAGGACAGGAGAAGACCAGACAGGCCCCAATAGGTCAGCTCCAAGAAGAAACCCTCATCCAAGGGTTTGAAAGGAGCCCTAGCCCACACCATGGGGCAGTGTTTTGAGCCACCACTCAAAACTTTCTTTTGAGTGTACTTTTGCTTTGCTTGCTGAATAAACTTTTCCTTGAAAGTTTGAGGCTTGGCTCTGAATTTTTTCTTACTCAGAACTCAAGTACTGGGGTCTGCTTTTGCCTTTTATACTTAGACTAGAGGCCCAGTGCACAGGATTTGTGCACTGGTGGGGGACGTGGCCAGCAAGGATCAGCTGGCTGTGAGAGCACCGCTCATCCTGGTCAGCCAAGTGGCACTCCCACTGTGGGAGCACACTGACCACCAGGGGGCAGCTCCTGCATTGAGCGTCTGGCCTCTGGTGGTCATTGCGCATTATAGCGACTGGTCGACCGGTCGTTTTGGTTGTTCCACCGTTCAGTCGTTGGGTTTTTATTATAAAGGAGGATATTCTGATCTGTTTTGTTTCCACTCTTTGTTCTCTATATTTTTCATTTATTGAAGTTTCTATGATATATCCTCAAGCACACTGATTGTATTCCCCAGTCATGTCCAGTCTACTAATAAGCCCATCAAAGGCAGTTTCCATTTTATTTATATCTTTGATCTTAAGAATTTCAATTATAATTGATTAAAATTCCTGGCCTGGGAACTAGAAATCAAAGAGAACCAAGATGGTGGCATAGGTAAATGCCTTTACTTTCTGCCTCCCACAACCACATCAAAATTACAACTAAAATACAGAACAACCATCATCCAGAACTGCCAGAAAGCTGGCTGAGTGGAAGTATTACAACAAGAGAAATAAAAAAGAAAGCACACTGAGACTGGTAGGAAGTGCGGAGGCACAGAATGGGCTGGTCTAGCACCCAGGTATGCTGCTTTTTTAATCTGGAGGGAGATTGCCTCTGCAGAGGCCACGTGGAGGAGCAAGGAGTCCTAGGCCCACACCAGAACCCCACCCCAGGGTTTCAGAGCTGGGGAGAGAGGTCCCTATGGGCAGTAAGAACTACAGACCATAAAAACCAGTGCAGATTGGGGCTGAGTGACACAGGCTGCTGGAGACCCAGCTGCTCCTCTTAAAAGGCCAGCACCATGAACTAAATTTACAAGCTCCCACTTCCTCTGAGCTCCAGTGCCAGGTGAGACTCTGGGGACACAGACACACATGGGGAGAAACTGAACTGTCTGGCACTGGGGCAGGAACTCGGGTGGCTTTCTTCCAGACAGAGGTACTCACAGGGGTCATTGTTCCTGTGCTGGGACCTCCCTGGTGCAGGGCTAACTGGCAGCCATTTCTGTTTGCTCTGCCTTGGTGATTCCCTGAGACCCGCCCCACCCAATTTACAACTCCACCCAAGCTGTGCACAGCAGCTTTTGCACATGAATGGCCTGTCCTTTCTCAGGCTAAATCTCTGTCAAACAAGCTGAAGCTGGGTCAGGGAGCCCCAAACCTATCAATAAAAGGCCCAAGGCCAGGCACCAGCACCAGCCTGCCTTGCTTCACAGCTGGGCATCATCTGGACACTTCCAAACCTGATACAAAGAGAAGAAATCTGCAGATCTCTCTGTAGCTCCTGCTAGATAGCCCCAGGCAGTGGCTGACTTTGTACCTTCCTGGAGACCCAAGAACCAGGGTACCCAGTGGTCAGTGTGAGACCATACCAGATTACAACTCTTCACATCCATAAGTGACACACTCAAGGGGCAGACTCAGTGAGCACCAAAGCCCCACTGAAGCAAGTCCTGCCCCATAAGGATGTCTCCTGTACAGCAGCTCTTCCATTGTAGATACAGCTGGTCCTCATAGCCAATTAGCCTGGAGGTCAATTCCGCCAAGTGATACCAACAGCAATCAAGGCTCAACTACAACAAGACTGTGCACACAGCGCACAAAGGAGTGCACCAAGTGTCCACCTCAGGTGATTGGAGAGGCTGAGCCACTGGACCCTATAAGACACCTACTACACAAAGCCACTCTATCAACCCAAGGAGACTTAACAGGTACCCAATACATAGAAACAAACCCAGGGAAGCAGCCAAAATGTGGAGACAAAGAAACATGTCACAAATGAAAGAAATGAAAGAAAGCAAACTAATGGAAATAGAGTTCAAAACCAGTTATAAGATTACTCAAGAATCTTCTAGAAACCTCTGAGGAACTAGTGAGACTTTCAAAGATCGTAGTGAGAATGCCAAAAAAAATGGAAAAGGACCAGTCAGAAATTAAGCATACACTGACTGAAATAAAGAATAATATACAGGGATTCAACAGTACACTAGAGGATCCTGAGAATCAAATAAATGATTTGAAATATGAGGAAGCAAAAAACACCCAACCAGAAGAATCCAAAAATATGAAGACAGTGTAAAGAACCTCGGGACAATTTTAAGCATACCAACACCCAAATTATGGGGGTGCCAGAAGAAGAGAGATAGCAAGATACTGAAAACATATTTGAAGAAATAATGACAGAAAACTTTCCCTATGGTGAAAGAAATAGACTTACAAGTTCAGGAAGTACAGAGAGGAGTCCAAAGAGGACCACACCAAGACACATCATAATTAAAATGCCAAGGGCTAACGACAAAGAGAGAATCTTGAAAGTAGCAAGAGAAAAAAGTTAGTTACATACAAGGAAGTGCCCATATGACTGCCAGCTTATTTCTCAGCAGAAACTATGCAGGCCTAAAGGGAGTGGCAAGAAATATTCAAAGTGATGAATAGCAAGAACCTACAACCAAGATTACTCTATCCAGCAAAACTATCATTCAGAATTGAAGGTCAGATAAAGAGTTTCACAGATAAGAAAAAACTAAAGGAGTTCATCACCACCAAACCAGTATTATATGAAATGCTGATGGGTATTCTTTAAGAAGAGGAAGAAGAAAAAGGTAAAAAAAAATACGAACAACAAAATGACAACAAATACATATCTATCAACAATTGAATCTAAACATCAAATGAATAAAAAATCTGATGAAAAGAATAAACTGGTGAATGGAATAGAACCAGGAACATGGAAATGGAACAGATTGACAATTCTCAGAGGGAAGGGAGTGTGGGGGAGTGTGAGA